ATATCTTGCAAAGTAGTCGTGCTTCACTTACATGCCCTCCACATTGTGTTATAAACATCTATTTATTACAAGCCTACCTTTCCTTCTAGACTTTAAGATATTTTGGGAAACTGACCAGTAATGTTTTTCTCATCTGTAAATTACAAACACATAACAAAGCACTAGGTTACCACTAGGCACCAAATATGGTTGTTCACTAAACAAATGCTTTGAACATTAACAATTGAAAATTTGTAATGTTATATCAATTTTTTCAGACTAGAGTGTAATTTGGCATGTATTATATGGGATTTCTTTCTCCTCCAAATCTCAAGTTCTCCCTAGGGTTTGCTAACTCTTAAAAGTTTTTGTAGGAACTCTCAAAAAAATCTTCAAAGAAAAGTTTTTAAATTAGATAATGTGTCTTTTACACACCCTAAGTTGGTAATTTGAAGGCATTTTGAAATTTCAAGTAAACATTTTTTAGTTCCAATGGTAAAAAGACCTAATACTAATTAGAAAGAAACCTATTATCACAAAAAATTAGAATAAACTAGGCAGACATAAAATCTACAGGAAAAAACGTAATCTCTTTTTGTGCTTAAAGAAGAAATCTGACACTCATACTCCAAGGAGGATTGAATAGCTTAACATTTATGGAATTATTTTCTGCTATGCATTTTGTTTCCTGTAAGAAGCTTTGAAATATTTCTGTTAAGATCTAGAAATTGTGTTTGTTTAGAATCAGTTTCAATCCTTGATGAGCTGGAGTAAATTTACTTTTAAAAAATGGATTTACCCTATACAAAACATATGCAATTTAGAGGTTTTTATGTCTTGAGGCAAAGTAGTATGAAATAGGTTAAGAGTCTTCATGAGAGAGACTGAATAAAAATGGCATTTAAAAATGGTCTGGTTCCAGGTTGCCTGGGTTAGAATTCCAGGTCTGCCATTTAATAACTTTATCTTGGAAGGCCAGATAATCCTTTGTGCCTCAGTTTCTTTGCTTATAAAGTAACCTTAGTAATTGTGCCCACCTCACAGGATTGATGACAGAAAGCTCCCAAGATATATCTACCATATGATACATACTTAATACATTATGTCTATCATTATGATATTAACTCTCTGGAGCCTGACCATGACCTATGAAATATGAAGGGCAGGACTCCAGAAATAGCCTTAGACATTACTCCAATTGTCCTTTTTCTTTTGGGATCAAGTATACAATGAATGTAAGTGACAACAATGAATGGTACTGGAAATTTTTTTTGAGTTGGAGTCTCACTCGGTCGCCCAGACGGGAGTGCAGTGGCTGCTCCCGGCCACCGCAGCCTCGACCTGCTGGGCTCCAGCGATCCTTCCGCCTCAGCCTTTCGAGTAGCCGGAATTACAGGCGCGCGCTATCACGCCCGGCTGATTTTTTGATTTATTGTAGAGATG